CCTCAGGGCCCTGCATAGGGCAAGTGGCTTCATGGTGCCTCTTTGAAGCATGTGAATCCAGAGTACATCAGGGAGCCCCCCTGGACCGTCTGCTCCTGGAGGGCTGGGGCGTGACCAGGATTCCTCTCTCCAGCCTACACCTGGGCTGGGCAGGTGCCAGTGCACATCCTCATGCTCAGCCTGGTCCCTGTGCAGAGTCCTGGGGTGGAGGGTCCTCACCCTGCCACCCATGGCGCCCCCTCACTGCCTCCCCATGGCCAGCAGGACTCACTACAAACTTTGTCGACCATCCCCACCCTCCTGCCACAGCAGCAGGGGCTAGGACCCACCATCTCCTCTGGTTCAGGTCTCGATCAAGACATCCTTCAGCAGCAGCTAGCAGGGAGGTACATGGCCACCTCTATGTCTTAGGGACATGCACAGGGCCCACGATCTGTGTGACACACTGAAGCACCTGGTGGCTGCCAGTGAGCCTGAGTGAGGAACAGATCCAGGACTATTCCTTCCAGCTTAAGGTATGACAGCTGGTGTGTAGGCTAGAAATGCAGGTCAAGGGCTGGGAAAGCCACTTCCCCTACCACACACTAACCCCTAACACAGGAGGACACACAGCAAAACGACACCAACAAGGAGCATCTTGTGGCCTAAGCACTAGGCAGGCTATTCTGTGCATCCTAATGCCTGTGCACCCTATGTTTAGGTGGTCGTGGGCAGAGCAGGTGGTGGTGGGGGTTACAGAGTCTCAGTCAGAGTCAAGTGCAATCTAAGCATGGCCATGGGGAAGGCAGATGGCTCAGCAGTGTATGTGTGGTAGGGAAGCTGGGAGGACGCAGGGCACTGGTTCCAGCCTGGACCCGATGAGTGAGAGGTGGCTGCACCAGCAGAGCTGACAAGTGCTTCCTGTTTTCCCTTGAAGAACCAGAAGCGCTCTCATGAAGATATCTCAGAGCTGTATTTCCCTACAAGGAGAAAGAGGATGGGGCTGCGGTAAACCCTAGTGCGCCCAGAGCTCCAACAGCCGGTGGAAGTTAAAGCTGCCACAGCTGAATTTCAGGATGGTCTCAATTCTCCATTCTGTGAGGTCACAGGGACATAATGGGAAATTATATCCTCAAGCCACACATCCTATTACTCCATCTCCCTGCCCCTTTGCTTGACTTGTTACCAAGTAGCAGCCTGGACTGAGGGCGAGTGCTTGTCTCCTTTGAGCCACCATTCCCCAGATAATGGAATATTGGGGAGTCCTTGGTACTTGGAGAGTAAAGCAGCAATGCCAGGCCTGGCCAGTGGGTGAGAAGGATGGATTTTTTTCTCCTGATTGCACCACTATGAGCGACCACCGAGAGGAGCTGTCGCACTGTTCTGTCTGTGGGCCCGCCCTTTTCCAGGGCAAGGTTGTTTAAGCTTTCCTATTTAAAAACAAAAACCAGATAAGACCAAATTCAAGGAGTTCATCATCACCAAGCCCTTATTATATAATTATATTATTAAATGTTAAAGGGACTTATCTAAGAAAAAGAAGATAAAAAATATGAACAGTGAAAGGACAGCAAACTCATGGTTATTAACAACCACAACTAAAACAAAAGCAAACTAAAAGGACAGCTAGACCAGGAACAGAACCATAGAAATGAAGATCAGGTGGAGGGTTAGCAACAGGGGAATGGGAGGAGGAGAAGGGGGGAGAAGGTACAGAGAATAAGTAGTATAGACAGAAGATAGAAAATAGATAGGGGGGAGGGTAAGAATAGTAGGGGAAATACGGAATCTAAAGAACTTGAGACACATGTTCATGAACTACACGGGGGGAATGGTGGGGGCGGGGTGTGCAAGGTGGAGGAGAACGGAGGGGGAAATAGAACAAATATAATGGCATAATCAATTTAAAAAAAGAAAGAAAGAAGTCTTTCCATATAAATAAATAAATAAATAAATAAATAAATAAATAAATAAATAAATAAATAAAAATAAAAACAACAAAAGCCCAGTCAGCTTCTGAGGGCCATCTAAATCCTCCCTGTAAGACTCCTTGATGGAGGTATTTATATGAAATGCATTTTATTTTAGGCCTGTTGTGTGTGTGCGTGTGTGTGTCACAAGGAAACAGCCCTGAGTTATATAGACCTGGACACTGGTGCCGGCCCAGCCTGGCTCTGCGGCTTCTCTGAAACGGGTACGAGGGCTGCACAGGGGGTGCACGTCTGGGAACCTGTGATGGGGGAGGGAGCACCGGCCTGAGCCCAGCCTCACACAGGAGGCACCTTTGGGGGGGGGGGAGTGCCGTAGGGGTGCGGTGCTGCCCAGGATGCCAGCTCTTCAGCAGAGAGTCCCCCGGCATTTGCCTTCTGACAAAGCCGCTGCATTTTGTCCGGGGCCACTGATTCATGAGACTTTGGCCAATATCATTTGGCACCTGGGTGACAAGGCAGGTGAGGTCAGGCTACAGTCAAGGCCTTGGCAGTACATGAAGGATACACGTGTTCCGTGGGGAAGGCTTCTCAGGGGACTGACCCATGTGTCCTTCTCCCAGTGGGAAGGAGGAAGGCACTCAGCCAGGGGTAAGTGAGGGTCGGGTGAGATCTGGCTACCGGCTGGAGTTTGGCCTGTGTTACCTTGGCTCCCTGGTCCCCGGACTCAGATGGGGTGGAGGGAGGAGAGGGGACAAGCAAACCTGCAGTGCGGTGGTGTTGCTTGGCACAGTGGTCACCTAGCCCAGAGTCTCTTGCACGCTAACCTGAACACTAAACGCCTGGGATGTCTCTCCAATGCAGACTCTGATTGAGGTGTGTGGTGGTACCCAAGAAACCTTATTTCAAACCAATTTTAAGGGGCAGTGGCTACTCCTGGCTCTGGGTCTATGCTTTGAGCCCGAGCCCTGGTTCCTGAGGCCCTGGGTTCCTGGTGGAGTATCATGGTGGGTTGGCATCATGTGGACAAGACCTGGGTCCCCCTGCACTGGCCCAGGGGCTGGCACAACCTTCACACTGAGCCACTTTTCCCAGCACCGCCTACCCCCTAACACTGGGGGACCCACAGTGGAACCAACAACAAGCTCTCCTCTGGCTCAGCTCCTCCTCACCCTTCCTTCCACTTCTGCCCACTGATGACCTGCCCTGTCCTCTGGCTTCCTGGCCCTGCCCTGGCCCTCACAGGCCCCGACCCAGGCCTGGGCCCATCTCAGAAGCATGGGGGCTGCGTCTTGGCTGCAACTCTGCTACCAAGCTTCTTGTCAGACATTCCATGCAAAGAGCCTGAGTCCAGCTGCTTTCTCCCACACACCTGTGGGATGTGTGGGGACCCACTGAGAGCAGAAATGGATCAGGACACTCTCACCCAAGTGTGCCTGGGCTCCCTCCTTGGCCAGACCTCCCCAATTCCAGGAACCCAAGTGCCTCCAACACACTTGATAAACCACAGCCATCCCGTGTACGCGGGCACCAGGGATATTTCTTTCTCACTTTATTGAAGGACAATGGAAAAGGGGGGCCTCCAGCTGAAGAGGATCTTCTCTGTTGGCAAAGACCAGAGGGTATCAATCAGGGTCACTTTCTTGGAGAGGGAGGGTTGGTGATCATACAAGGAAAGGTTAAAGTTGGACAAGAGGAAACCTGAGGAGACCACCTCCCATGTGAGTGACCAGCTGGTGGCTTGAGCCTGAGGTGGACTTGAATGGAGGCTGGGACATGGGATCCAAGGTAGACAAGGGGTCAGCTGGGAGCTTGGGAAGGCCCACGGCCCTCCCTTTGTGCCCAGGGGACAGAACATAGGGCTTCAACCTGCACACACCCGCTTTCTTGGATGTTAGGATTGGACAGCTGGAGCCCCAGGTGGTACCCAGGCTGAGGAAGGCAGTGTCATCCAGCTGCCATCTGCACCCCAGGGGGGCTGCAGACAGAGGCAGGGCCACATAGGGACCTGGTTCTTCCAGATCCTTGGCACGTTGGAAACGGCCGGAGAGCTGGGCAGGGACAGGGACAGGGAAGGTGGAGGTGATGAGCAGATCCAGACAGCGACGTACTCTAGGCCGAGTCCCCAGGGACAGGAACCTGCCTATGTTTGCACGTGGGTCACCTGGACATCACCTGCCACTTCTAGGTTGTTGATGGCGGCCAGGTTCTTCAGGCGGTGGTTATACTCCAACAGGTGATGACCATTCACTGCCACCTTGAAGCAATGACCTTCAGATATGATCCACACCTGGACAGACAGATGGCCGTGTCATTTCCAGTGCACTTGGAAAGTCAGCAAACCTAAATGCAGGCTGGGGTCTCCTCCCTCTTCCTGCCTTTGACTTCCATCCATTAAGGAGGCTCCACGCCCACATCCAGTCACACGGGATTCACTTCACAAACACGCTCTCCTTCCCGTCCTTTTGCATGTTCTGTTCCCTGGCATAGAATGCCCTTCCCCCAGGCGCCGCACCACACACCACCCCACATGGGCAACTGCTCATCCCCCTCAGGGTTCACCCCTCTCCAGCTGGCCTTCCCTGCGTTCTGCCACCGCCTGACCCCTGCTACTCAAGTCAGGAGCCCCCTCAGGTCCTGTCCCCGCCCCCATCCTCACTCTCCCACTGGACCCTGAGCCTCCAGGGGCAGGGGCTCTGCCTTGTGCCCCCATGTCCCTGGTACCCGCACCCAGGAGTGCTCCAGGCCGGCACTCCTGCAGCGGCCCCTCCTAACTTGTCGTTTTTTGCCCAAATACCCTCTGCGAGGCAGTGGGAGCACATGTGTGACAACGCCGTCATCCCCCACACACCCGGCACGTGCAGCACGCTTCCTGTGGGCCGGGCTCTGTGCTCAGCCTGTCCCAACACGAGGTAGGTGCACTCCCACATCTCCAAGGTCAGTGTTGCTAGTAGTCCCATGTTTCCAATGGAAAGACAGAGGCTCAGAGCAGCCACATCACTTGCTCACAGTCACACAGTGTGTCTGAGTAGAAGGAGAATGCTCTGAGGCTGGAAACATTGCGACTCACTCTGTCAAAATCCAGACTCCTTTCCGTGGCCCTCAAGGCCCTACAAGGGTGGTGTGCTACCCGGGGGAGGAGTGTCAGGGCCTATTCAAAACACGGATGCCCAGGCTCCCCCTGCTTGGCCCGGGGCGGGGCCAGACCTGGGCCTTTCCATGTCAGGCTCTCTGGGTGACTTGAATGTGTAGCAGGGGTTGGGAGCCCCTGCTGTGCTCTCCTGGCCTCCAGCCTCCCGGGCTCCCCCTTCCTGCACAGTCCACGCCCCTGACCCTCACTTTTGCAGTAACAGCTGCTCCCTCCAAGGTCTCTGAGGAGGAACCCCTCAGGTCTTCCTGGGTGGCTCCTTGAAACCCTGAGGTCTCCACTGCACTGTGGCCTCTGAGAGCTGCCCCCTTGTCAGGCAGCGTGGCCCTACCCAGGCCTCACTCTACCAGGTGAGTCCTAGCTTTGGTGTCTCTAAGTCATGCTGGAAGAACAGTTGACTTGGGCCACACATTTGGACCCAAGAAGAACACCCTAAGGCACGTCATAATGTAGTCACCCAAGATTAAAGATAAGGAGAGAACCTTAAAAGCAGAGAGAGAAAAGGAGACAGTTACCTACAAAGGTGTTCCCGTAAGGCTGTGAGCTCATTTCTCAAAGGAAAACTTAGAGGCCATAAGGGATTGGAAAGAAGTATTCCAGGTTGTGAAGGGCACAGACCTACATCCTGCCAAACTATCATTTAATATGGAAGGGCAGCTCAAGTGCTCTCCAGATAAGGTCAAGTTGAAGGAGGTCATCATCACCAAGCCATTATTATACGAAATGTTAAAGGAATTTATCTAAGAAAAAGAAGAAGATCAAATACATGAACAGTAAAATGACAGCAAACTCATAACTACCAAGACCTGAACCTAAAAACAAAAACAAAATTGAACTAAGCAAACAAGTAGAACAGGAACAGAACCACAGAAATGGAGATCACATAGAGGGTTATCAGTGGGGAAGGGGGTGGGGGGAGAAGGGGCAAAGGGACAGAGAAGAAGAAGCATAAACGGTAGGTACAAAATAGAGAGGGAGAAGTTAAGAATAGTATTGGAAATGGAGAAGCCAAAGGACTTATATGGACAAACCAGGCACGTGAACTAAGGGGGGCATTGCTGGAGGGAGGATGTGAAGAGAAGAAGGGGAAAAGGGGGAAAAATGGGACAACTGTGTTAGTGTAGTCCATAAAGTATACTTTAAAATAAATACATCGCCATCATAATCACAAAAGATCTGGTGAGGTTTGAGGTGAAGTTTCGGTTTTGTGTCGGGCGGCAGTCACAGCCGTCTGGCTGCATCGGCCCGAGGTGTGCACACCCCTGCTGCACAGCAGGCTCTTTGGCTTTCAGCAAAGCACCTGTGGTGACCCGGGGTGATTCGCTGCCATCTCAACTGTGAAGTTCAGGGGCAGGACCTCCTTGCTGGCTTAAGGCTCCCTCCCTCACTGCAACACCTGGACTACTTCCTGCACTAAGCAGCCTTGATAACAGACCTAATGAGTGATCAATAAGTGAGGGAGTGAATAAAGAAATGAATGACAGCTCATTTGGGTGCGATCTGCCACTTATTGTCTGTGTGACCTCAGGCGGGGACCCTGCCTTGAGTTGTTTCCCACCTGTGAACAGCAGATAACATCACCTCTTTATGGGGGACAGTAATGCTAAGACCATAACAACAAATATTTGGTGACCACATTCTGTTCTTCTGGGCCCAGCCCTCACCCCAGAGGCCTCAGCTCCCAGCTGCTTCCTGGGGCCCACAGACACTCCCACCCCGCGCCCCACTTGCCTCTGGGAGCCCCTCAGAGCTCGAGGCTGCAGCACCTACCGAGAAGCCCTGGCCTCTGGAGAAGGGCATAGCTCGGGGGAGGCCGCGCTCCTCGGGTCCCCAAGAGCCATTGATCTGTGTGTTTCGAACCACAGTGTTTTCATCGAAACGGGGGTTCAGGTGGAAGGCGATGTCACTCCCAGATCGCAGGTTGATGTGGAACCTGGGGGTGGGAAGCTCGCAGGAGTTTCCTATGCCCACTGAGCTCTGGACCCTGCCCCTCTCCATCCTGCACAGAGCCAGGGGAGAGGCAAGAATGAGCTTGTGGTAGCTCTCTTTCCCAAGAGCCCAGGCTTACCTCCGAGCGCTGGGCAGGACAGTGCCTGACACCGTGATGCTCTTGGAAGGGTACATTCCACTCGGGATGGCAGTGAAGTAGGGTATCGGCTGTCAAGGAAGAGGGGCAGGTCAGCCAGCAGCAGCCAGAGCAGCGACCACTGTAGGGGGAACCTCCTGCCAGGTTCCATGAATTCGGACTATGCACTGAGTCTGACCACTGTTCCTGGGAGTCGTATCTCTTCAGGAAAGTGGTGCCTTCACTTCGTTGTAAATGCCAAAGGGAAACTTTCCAGGGATCCTCAAAGTAATCAGTGGGCTCAGACTGTCATGAGAAGGACTTAGGCCTGACACAGGGGACACTGGGGCTGAGGAGGGACAGTCACTAGTAAGGTGCTCATGATGAAGGGACACTGTTGAAGGCAAGAGCTCCTTTCAACGACTTCTCATTTACTTGGGTGTTGAACTTCAGCTTCCTCAAGGACTGCTTTTCATTTTGTGAGCCGCCCTTCACCTCCCACGCTGCCCAGCACACACCAACCCTCCACCCTCCCTGAGAAATCACTTACATAGGTGGGGTTGGCGTACATCTCAGGTGAGATCACAGGGTTCTGTTGAAAAGAGACCAGGACATCGAGTGTGGGGTTGCGCCCACACACTCTGAGGGGATGCTCCAACGTGAAGCATCAGCCCCTGGGCCCCCCCTTCACCCCCTCTCCGGGCGGCCTGGGTGGAACTTCCTGCCACAGTCCGAGACCCACCACAGCCGCCCGGCCTGGGCCCTCCACAGGCAGCTCTGCTCCCTCCAGGGCGCCCGTCTGACTTGCACCAGCAGGAGGAAGAGAAGCAGTGACTTTTGTGTGTCACCAGCAGTGACATCCCAGGGATGTGAGCATGCAGGGCCTCAGACCCAGATGTCCTGGCCTCAGGACACTGCACCCCCCACCTAGTCACACAAGGACGGTTTTCCTGCTGGTCCCGAGGGTCCTGCCTCTTGGGCTTCTGGGCAAAGGCAGCCTGCTCTGGAATTCCCACAGGCCCAAGGGGAGTCAGAGTTGCAAGTCTCCTGAGCAGAGGACCCAGCCCCAAATGTTCCCATCCTGCTTGCTAAACTGCTTCCGCCCCTTCTCTGGGACGAGCGAATTCAGTCCTTGGTGAAGGGGGATGTCACAGGGGCTGTGAGCTGAGCAGAGTTTTCAACTTACAGAGCACATTTGTCCAGGCGCACTCTGCCTGGCATGCATGACTGAGTCTGAAGAGAGAAGAGCAGGCTTTCACCAGCTCTCACCGCTGTGATGACCACCACCTGCCACCAGAGGGCACCATTTTGCACACACTTTGGAAGTGGGCTCTGAGCCAGTAACCAGCTCAAAGGCCCTGACAAGGCCCCCAAATCGGAGCACAGAGATCTTTCTCCTCTCAAGGCGATGAGGTAGGGGCAAAAGATTCTTCTGGAGAAGAAATATGGATTCACTTGAGGCTGCTAGTCCCATCTTTCTTCTCATAGGAATCTCCCCTGCACAGTGAAGCTGTGCAGGACTGAAGTGAATGTGGGGAGCAGGGCTCCTGGGGCTGTGCTCAGACTGGCAGGGGCTGGGGCAGCTCGGCTCATGGCCCCATCCTCGGGCCGGCCACCTCTCCCTGCCACCCAGACCGGCCCACCACCAGCACCACAGTGGGGCCGATGGTCGAGGGGGCTGGCTCCAGCTGCCCCTGACCTGTGCTGGAGGCCTAATGCTGGCCCTGCCTCCTCCTTCTAACTCACAGGAGAACAGAATGAAGAGGTTCCATAGAGACAACAAGATACTCACCATGAAAGCTGCGTTGGCTTGCCAGAACCCTAGGGGCTGATGGGGAAAGATCATCAACATGAGGGTTAACATTGGTGCCTCCCGAGGCAGAAGCGACGGCAGGAACTGGTAGGGATGCGTCCCCAGACTCACCCTGGCTTCCCTCCTGCTCCTGAGCAAGCCTTCCTGAGCCCGAGGTCAGGTCAGGGCTGCAGGAGGGGCGCACCCCCACTGGCTCCTCCAGAGACAGCACTGTGTCAAATACTCGTGCAGAACACGGAGCTCGCCCTGGCTCCCTGAGAGAGGCTCAGCCATCGATGCCTTCCAGCCCCACCTTCCACCCGGAAGATGCAAACTGGCATTTACGGCGGACTATTGTGTGCCAAGCTCCCGCTCAGGGTTTATGAGGGAGGTATCCTTAGCTTCTGTTCTGCTCAGTGAGACAACCAGGCTCAGAAAGGTTAAGTAACTTGCCCAAGCCTGTCCAGGTGGCCAGTGATAAAAGGCAATGGCCACCCAGTCGTGTCTGACTGTACGCAGCATTCCTGGCCCTCCCCAGGCCAGGGCCAAGGTCGGGCTGCCCAGCAAGGCTTCCTGGACCTCCTACCTGCACCGTGACGGGTCACAGGAAGGTTGGGTAGAGGGACACCCCTTGCCCTTTGTCTCCACTGCTCAAGTGGCCTAAGGAAGGGCCCAGCCCTGCCCTTTTCCTGTCCTGGACCCTTTCCCCACCCAGCAAACTGTCCTTCCTGCCCTGGCTGGGGTCCGCTTCTGCTGGCTGTGCAAACCACATTCCTCATTCATTTATCCAGTCCCTCCTGCATTCTAGGCCCTGTGCACAGGGCAGGGGATACACATAGGGACAAGTCACAGTTCCAAGGTCATGGGTGTGGGGAGGGGGCATGTGGAGTGACAGGGACAGACAAGTAAATACAGTTACAACAAGACAGGGGGACTGGCATAGCACAGCTGTAAAAAGTCCGGGACCGGAGGTGGTAGGGCATCCAGCCATCTGCCCCACAGGGGGGACGGCCCGAGGCAACATTTAAGCACAGCACTACAGGGGAGTTAGTGACTGGCTGGGGGTGAAGTGGCAATGGGGACTTTTGGCACCAGGACAGCAGATGCAAAGCCACAGTGGCCTCAGACAGCCTGGAGGGAGCAGTGGAGGCTGTGTGAGTTTAGTGGGTGGGATGGGAGGCCGGGAGGGGGGCTGGGCCCCTGGGGCGAGGATCCTCCACATCCCATTGGGGAGTCAGAGGTCTATTGAGAAGGGCTTGGGCCCTTTGGGCTTTTTAAGCAGGGATGCTAAAAAAATGTGATCGGATTTGCTTGTGAGAAGGTCACTGTGGTGGTGGGTGGGTGTGAGGGGGGCACCAGCCCAGGTGTCCTGCACTCAGGCCCTGGCTGCGGGCAGGGGACACTTTGGTGCACTGCAGAGATATTAAGGGAGGGAAGAACCAAGGACGACTCCCAGGTCCTGGCTCTGGGTGCCAGGTGGATGCAGAGAGGGAAGCTTTGGTGGGCAGCAAGGGGCCTGTGGCCCTGGCTGGCCTGCTGCCTGGAACTCGCCTCTCTCAGACCCTCTGTCCTTCCTGCTGGCTGCCCCCCTCCCGGGTTCTCACGTGAGACTCACTTTTGGTTTGCGCCCCTTGGGCTTTGGGGGGAAACAGGCTGTCTGGGAAAATTGCATCCCGGAGAAGGCAGGCTGGACAAGGACGACACGGGTGTTCTGTTAAAACAGAAGGAGCCACGGGCTGAAGAGAAGCTGTAATGGAGCCAAGGGAGGGTGGAAAGGCGGGGTCCGGGGCAAGGGGTGAGAGCAAGGCAGGGGGGAGGCAGTGGGGGCCAGCGAGCGCTGGGTAGGGAAGGAATATGAGGGTGAGGACCAAAGAGACAGGAGCTCATATTCATTGAGGGCCTAACATGGGCTCTTCTCATCTGAGGCAGTGCATCCAAATGCCAGAGAGACGACCGCCCCCATGCAGCTGCGGGGGCCCTGCGGGAATGGGGGCCTGGAGACCCCACTCTTCCGAGTTCTCACACCACACCTGGAAGTCAGATTTCGACGGGCTCTCCCCCAGGTCACCAAAGTTTTTGGTCAAATGCACATAGAAGTCACCACCCGAACCGCTGTTCAGTGCAAGTGGAGCAGCACCAAGCACATTCCCGTCACCACGCGGCCGTCACCCGGCTCAGCTCCCAAGCACAAAGCTTCGCCTGACCTTTCAGAGGTCGGCAGCACAGGCAGAATTTGCAATCCCAGAGAGAGCGTCAGAGTCCCTGGTGTGGGCCCCTGTGAGCCATTTCTTGTTTAAGATTTTATTTATTCATTTGTAGAGAGAGAGAAACATCCATCAGCCACCTCTCACACGTGCCCTCACTGGGTATAGAACTCACAACGCAGGCGTGTGCCCTGACCAGGAACTGAACCCCGACACCTTGCCTGGTGGGGTGATGCCCCACCCACAGAACTACACTGGTTGGGCCCGTGTGAGTCGTTTTGTGACATCTGACATGTGTCCTCTCACTGAGCTCAGGCAATATCACTGGGGTGGCAGTGACCATGTCTCTGCCACAAAGGAGGACACTGAGGGTGGGAGAGGGGAAGTCACTGTCTAAGATCCCACAGCTGATGTGGTGGCAGAGCTGGAACCTGAGCTCGGCTTCTTTCCGGAACCACATGGCCTCCGAACCAGGGGGGCAATAGAGAGTTGACAGAGCAGAGCGGTAAGAGGAGGGAGGCTGAGGCAGGTGTTCTGGGCACAGATGGTGCCACAAGTACAGGACAGGACAGGGAGCCAGAGGTCTGACCCCAGAGTCACCTGGGCAGGAAACTGCCTGCCTGGTACATTTGGGCCCAGCCAACAGGGCCCTGCACCGGGCGCTGCACCCAGACCTGGCACAGGGGTCGGTTGGACAATCTGACCTGGAAGCTGATGTTGGTCAGCCCCACAGCACCAGTGACAGAGATGGTGTCCGCTAGGTGGAACGGCACGCGATGTGAGTACTTCGTGAAGAGGTTCCCATTCACTGTCACCTGTCAACAAGAGTGCCCAGTTCAGCTGTGGGGTCCCAGACCAGGGCAGGGAGCACACCTGAGCCTCCAGGAACCCTGGTTCTAGAAATGAAGTCCTCTCCGGTTTTCACCTCCTTCCCCCTTGGGTCGGGGCACCAGCCTCCCTGGCTGCGCCAGTTACGGGAACATGCATGTGACCTAAAGAGCATCCAGGCCTGGTGAGCCCTGGGTTCCAGCTGTTGGCTGCACGGCTCTTAGGATAGTTTGTTTATTGAAGTAGCTTTGTCTTTCCAATCTTAGCTCACCGGAGGTGTCATTTCAATGTGCACTTTTGAATATGCATAAAATGCCCCTGGGAGCAGAGGAGAGGGTCTCAGGTTGCAGGCTGATGGGACAGGAACACCCAGGTTCCCACAGGGAAGCGCTGACACAGCCTCCCCGGGCCTGCAGCTCCGCTCCACCTGCAGAGCACTCATGGCGCCCAGCAAGGCTGACCATTCCCAGAGCCTGGACGAGGGCGGCAACAAGGTCACCCACCAAAAAAAATTCTCCCGAGCACCTGGAGTATCAAGGGCTACTGCCAGAGCCTGGAATGGACTGGGTAGCTGAGGCCAAAGACCCGGCAGTGACTCATTAGTCCTGACTCCCTGGTAACACAAGCCCGGGTGCGCCTGCAGGTGCAGGTGAGCCTGTGTGAGGTCCTGCGGTGGGCAGAGGCCCTGCATGGGGCGTGGGGAACTGCTCACCTGGTGGGGGGCAGGGGCCCAGGCAGTGGGAAGGCGGGAGGAGAGTTCCTGCTCACCTGGAAATCCGTGCTCTGTACCAGGAAACGGAGCTCAAAGGGATTGCCCTTCTGGAAGGGCATCTGCATCTTCCTCTCCTCTGTCCCCCAGCTTCCTTTCTGCTTTGTGTTACAGACCACATACCCGCCCTCTTCAAAGCGAGGGTTGAAGTGGAAGGCAATGTCATGGTCACTGAAGCCCGTCTGAAAGTTCACAGCAAACCTGGGCCCAGGGAAAAGAGAGAGTGTTCTGGTTTTCATCCAGTGGTAGGAGCAGGAAGGCCTCTTGCCCCTGACCTGCGTGTGTGTGGGAACCTGCGTGCACCCCGTCAGGCAGCTTTGCTCCCAGGATGTCTCTGTCGCCTTCCTGCTTGTTTACCTAATTTGCACTGAGTGTGTTTCTGTGTCTTTACTGCATTATGTCCTTTCCAGTGTGACTTTCTAAAAATAAGTAGAAAATGGGTAATGAAAATGTTGACACTATCCAGAGGAAGCAAAGAACTGATGACAGATTTGTATCGGAGGTGGTGATGGGGATGTGCCTAGAAGCAAGAGGACTGGGTGGGAAGTGGGCACTTGGCAGAGGGCGGCCCACCTGTGAGCGCGTGGGCGGGAAGAGAACAAACGCACAGAACTGGTGACGTTGATGGAATATTTCTCTGGGATCGAGATACAGGGACTTCCCTGAGAGTGTTACATGCCCAGAAGGGCTCCCCTGTGCCACGTGCACAGACCCCACCCAGATCAGGAAGAACCCACACCTGCCCCCACCTGGACCTCAGCAGAGGCACCTGGGCTGCGGGAGGGTCCAAGCACCCAGCAGCCACAAGCTCCGCCCTGTTCCCAAAGTGCCCTCTCGGGTGGGAACCGGAGAAGACGTTTGTATTTTGAATGGACTTGGTATTATCTGGGCAAGAACTTTAGACAGAAAGTGACCACAGTAAATTTAACTGCAGATTTAAATATTTCCATTTAAGCAATGGCTTCGAGTAAATGAGGGCAGTTGTGGGTAACAAAGGAGGTGTTATTTTTGCATCTCTGAGTCTTTGAGTGCATAGTTCAATCCTAGACCACAATAATCAGCGTCTGGGCTGCCTGAGACCGTGAGCTCCTGCTTCCCTGTGTCTACTGGACGTCTGTCTATGATAACGGCGTCCCGATGCTGGCAGAGAGCAGGGGTGCCACCCAGTGTGGGCCTCGGCCAGGCCCTGCTCCCCCGGCATCCCCTGAGCCAGGCACAGGCAGCTTGGAGGGTGTGGGGGGAGCCGACCCCAGCTGACAGGCAGCATGGCCGGCTGAGGGGCACAGCGAGGCAGTTCCAGGTACCTGGTCGCACCAGACTGGTGCACAATCCCATTGAGAGTGATCTGAAGCCCGTCCTGGAGGCCCCCTTGGATGGGCCCAGTGAAGGGGACGATCTGTAGGGAGAAGAGGCAGGGTGTCAGTGGGCCGGCCTCCTTCTGGCCACGCTCCCCCCCCCACACTTGCTTGGTGGCCGGCCTGGTGTGTCAGGGGGCAGCTGGGAACTGAGGCAATGGCCCCAACCCGGGTGGTTGCACACACACTCCGAGACTGGTAAGGACACCTCCAGGCTCTGAGTTCCTGTGACCAGGAGCTGACCTCCCCTAGGAGGAAGCAGCATGTACTTGACCCTGAGAGGGGAAGGCACCAGGCCAGAGAGAGGGGCTGCTGGACCCCAGGCCAAACTCCCAGCAAAGGCCCCAGAGCCCTGGCTGAGGACTCAGAAACCCAAGGCACCACAGAGGCCGCCAGCCTGTCCCCAGGGTCACCCTTCGGCTCACCTGGGAAGGTCTAGAGGAAGGCATCCTCTCAGCTCCCGCCCAGCCCACCAGAGAGCAGTGGGGGCCACGGCCTTTGCCCTCCCAGCCACCTCGGGTAGCGCCTCTTCCTGGGTGCTGTCTGCAGCCAGGGGCAGCTGCCTCCTCCTCCCGCCCCTGGGCTCCCCGTTGCCTCCCCCAGGCCCTGCGCACCCTCCGGAGCCCTCACGGGGTGTCTCCACACCTCCCAGGCCCCGTGGGCACGGAGTTTGTCCCATTGTGTGCCCCAGGCCACTGGGAAGCAGCCAAGGCTATGGTGAGGTGCTCATCACTGCACAGCCAGACACAGTCCAGGTCTGGATCCTCTTTCTGCTGCTTGTTGCCTGAGGGGCCTTGGGAAGCTGATCTGCCCTCTCTTTGCCTCAGTGAGCTCATCTGAAACGTAGGGATCCATCGTACCTGTCAGGAGCCAATCAACAGCGGCCCCTTGACACAGCCGGGACAGATGAGATGCATCTGCAGAGCAGAGGCAACTGTGGCTGGATTTCCTGTCTGTCTCTCCTTGCATGTCTATCTTTGTGATATATAGGTGGTGGGATTTTTAGACGCCTGTATTTCAGGCCCAATGATCCACAGAATTCCAATGAAGTTGTACCAGATGATTTCTTGGCCATAGAACAAAATCCTCCCTGATGGGGTAGCCCCTGAACGTCTAAAAGTTGATGGAGTAACAGCCCCTCCTCCACCTTGCACAGGAATATATATTAATAGAATTAGGTAAAGAAACAGGAGCAGCTCGTTAACTATTACAAACTGAGCATGTAGAAACGATTGCTAAGGAGTTAGAGTCCAAAGTACAGAAAGATTCTAGACAGGAAGATAGATGGCTAAGTTAGACACCACAAAGGCCTTGTAATAAATTTCCTAGAACCACTGCTAAGTCTAGCATATCCTTTTGACCCATGCCAAATTCTAAGAACTTTAATAAACATCTATTCATCAATAAGATGTTTAAAACTCTGTACATACAGCTATTTCTAATTGTCTGATTGATGGCTCTCCTGGGCAAAATACCCTTTGTTTAATGTAACTGAATCTATGTAATTTCCTGTACTTTTCCTAGTTACCTCTGTATTGATTTTTTCTGCTTAACTGATCATGCCATACACCTGGTCCTTTAATGTTATATAACAATCTCTATAAAAATAAAGCTTAATTCTAACTTTGAGAGTTCAGTCAGACCCACAGAGGCCGGCCTGTCTCCGGCATCCAACGGGGTCTCTGACTCTTCATTCATCACCTGTGCCGTCCATTCTTCGGGGACCCTGAGACCTGCAGAGGCTGGACCCCGGCACTTACCCCCTGTGTTGGAAGGACGACTCAGTGAGAAGAGTCTGGGTTGGAGAAGGGCGCATCCCAGCTGCCTCTACCCCACCCCCCCACCTCCCCGGTCTCTCTGGGCAAAAATCCCCACACTGGCTGCTGCTGGACTGTTAAGGCTGACCTCCAGATGGCCTCAAAATCCGAGGTCGTCTGTAATCCGCATTGCCCTGGGAGAGAACTCCCAGCTCCTGGTCAGTTTAATGTTTTTCTTTCCTTTGTTTTTCCCCTCACCCGAGGACAATTTTTCATTGCTTCTTAGAGAGAGAGGAAGGAAGAGAGACATCAGCGAGAGAGAGAAGCATCCAATGCTTGCCTCCCAAATGTGCCCTGACTGGGAATCGAACCTGCATCCTTTCCTTACAGGAAGACGCTCCAACCAACTAGGACAGACCAGCCAGGGCCCATGCTTTTCACCACCATCTGGCTCCTTCGTGACGAGACACAGAACATCCTCCCTCCAGGCTCGCTGAGTGCTTCCCCAGACCACACGGCCAGCCCTGTCCTGCTTGTGCCTCCACTTCCATCCTAGCCCCTGAGGAGGCTGGGCCAGATGGGCTGCTGGGGGGCAGGAGTGGGGGGTGAGGTCCGCAGAGGTGTTCAGCTCTTCAGCAGAACAGCCGGGTCGTGTGACCTCCCAGCACTCTTTGGAGGAAGAGGAAGGTCACTCCTGACTCCTGGGAGTTGGGGGGACACCAGAAGGGGAGACCATGTGGGGTGGATGGGTGCTCCTGGCCCCTGTGGGGGCAACACCCACCCTCATTTCTGTCTGGCCTACAAGGCCCTGTTTTAACCGCTCATGCAGGATTTTCCTTCGCATTTGAAAAACTGTGTGTCCAGGAATTGAAGAGTGAAAGCCACCAGGATAAGAATATGTCAGGGCCTGGGAGGAGCCCTGGCATCCCCCATCCTACAGGAAGGGGGCCTGAGGTCACACATTCTGACCCTGGTGCACCAGCCAGGCCTGGCTCAGCTTTCTCCAGCCCAACCACCAGCCCTTCCTCAAGGAGAGCTCAGGGGCTGGTGACTGTGGGGAAAGCAGGCCATGCCAGGGGCCCTGCTGAGGTGGGCTGCAACTCGAAGCCCAGGCAGCAACTGCCCCCACCGACCTGTGCCCCCAGCACTCTGCTGCTGCTGCCCACCCGCCTGTCTCGTGGCCCCACCCAGAAAGACTCTGTCAGTCCATCTCCCCCGCCCTCAGGAACAAGGCTGGGGGAGGCTTCTAGAGACACTATGGTGTCGGGACCAGGACGGGGTCACCTCGCAGGCCTCCTGGGCCTGGGGCTGCCACTTGCCTGCCTTCCCCCATCACTGCTCCCTCTGTGGGCCCCTCCCTCCTCTGGAGGTAAATACAGGCACCTCCCTTCTCTGCCACTTACCGTCCGGGCACATTTGGCCTCAGTGTCTCAGAGCCTTAGTTTTCCCATGAATGCCGTGGGGATCATAAAGCTCAGAGGGTCCAAACAACCCACCTGCACACAGGGCCCTCACACCTGGCACAAAGGTGCAAACCAGCCCCAGTGTCCCACTCTGCAGGGACGGCCCCGCTCCTCCCTCCCTCCCCAGAGGGCCCCTCTGCAGCCTCCCTGAGCTGCCCCTGCCTGTGTGCTCAGCCCACAGGGAGCAGACCCCTCAGGACTCTTCCCTGCTGCCCCCACACCCCTCATCAGACTAAACCCTGAATCACCCACAGCGTGCCGGGCACTCTTCAAGCACCCTAGAATGGACCTCACCGAATTCTCACCCCGATTCTCGACATGGCTCTAGGATTCTCCCCTATTCTACACATGTGGAAACTGAGGCCCAGAGAGGAAAAAGTAGCTTGGCTGTGGTCACCTATTTCCTAGGCAGTAGTGACTGAACCCAGGGAGGCCACCTCCAGAGGAAGTGAGACATGCTGGGCTCTCGTGCTCCCCAGACGCCCTGTGTACTTCCCCTTTCATTCCCACAAACCATCACTGTCCTTGTGATGAGCTGTGCGCTCCTTCCCCTGAGCACGAGGATGGACGGGAGCCCACTGGGAGCTCAGTCAGCATTTGTCCAATGCACGGATCCGGACTGCCCCTCCTGGCACTTCTGTCCTTCTGTGTTCTCTTTGGGAAGCCCCCTCCACCCCTGCCACCCAAGTGTGGTGTCCTCAGAAACCACGAGGTGCAAACCTGCACAGGCAGTAGCTCAGCCTGGCAGCACCACCCCTGCCTGATGCACAGAAACTCACTGGGTTCAGGAAGGGAGGCTGGTTGCTGACGAAGTTCATCTTTCCACCACCTTTGTGATCCCGGCTGCTTCTCACACCAGCCAGGAAGTCCTCTGCACTGAGGAGGAGTCAACAAAGAAATAGAAACCAAACCAATCTGCCAATAACTCAGTGGGGAGGAGCCAGGAGCCAGAGGAAATGGGTCCAGACAAAGAGAAGGGAAGGGCTCTGGGGGAAGAGGGGCGAGCATGGAACTCGGGACAGGAGAGTAGAGACGTCCCCCCAGGGCTCTCTCCTTCCTCTCCTGCTGTGCTCCACCCAGAGACTCAGTCAGGGGGGTTCCCTGACTCACAGAGCCTGGCCCCCCTGATGCCAGCAGGTGTCTACATGGTGCCGCCCATTAGTGAGGCTGTGTCTCCCGAGCACCCAGTCAGTGTCCAGAAACAATGGGGCTGCTTGACACGGTCGCTCTGGTAGATGTGGTGCTGGGGTGGTGGGAGGCCTGGTTATACCCATTTTACACACAGGGAAACTGGGGCTCAGAGAGCTAGCGACACGCCGGAGGTCTCACAGCACACTGGTGGCCGCCTGCACTCTCTGAAGATACTTAGGTTCTCCAAAGGGTGTTTCTTTTGTTTAAAATCCTGCTCCTCACGTGAAAACATTAGCATGTACAAAGAAGTGTACAAGATAGAGTTTGTGTTTGTAAATGCAAACCCTCACCATGGGGGCTGTGACTTCCCTGGTTATAGGTCCGTCCTGGGAGCTTCTGCGTTCCCGCTTGGACAGCTTACCTCTTTCCTCTCCTCTCTCCCTGTGTGTTAATAGCCTCACATTTTTATTCATGAACCAACCATTGCCAAAAAATCACAGAGAAAAATCATTTTTTCAATAATTTCCCAATGGAAAAACCCAGCTATCTGGATAGTAGTGACTTTTTAGCGATTTCGAGAGGCAGACAAGCTGGATGGAACCTAAGTGTGGAGCCGTGTCTCATGTGCCAGTCCTCGTGCACCCAGTCCGGTTCCTCCCCAGTGTCTCCTCTGGGAGCTGTGCCTGGTCTGTACCAGTGGAGCCTACTGGGGAAATGGGCCGATTCAGCTGCTGTTTCTTCACCAGGAACCTCTGGATCCTGAAAGTCTCATGAGAAGACATGGCAAAGAAGGATCAATGGACCACGATGGTGGAGACAGACAGACTCCTGTGTCCCTTCTCTTTCCTGGCTTCAGAACAGAGAGATGAGAAGTCTCGGAAACAGTGGAACATTCCAAGTGACATGGAGGTCAGGGTGACACATTAAATAAACTGCCTTTCAATGGCTTCAGCACTGAGGTAAGGAAAACGGTTGAACCAAGACTTGGCGGAGGAGGGGCTAGGAGTGGTGATGATAAACTTACCCGAAGTCAAGCAGGTCCCTTCAATGTGCTAGACAAGAATCCAATGTGCTACAGGTCAAGCCTGAGTGAGCAGGTAAGGGGTACCTGGGTGCCAAGTGGGTAGAAGGTGCCCCAGGGTCATGCATGTGTGTGCACCCCTCTTCTTTCTTGAACCTCGTCTAGATGCACCAGAATTTGCAAAGACTGGCTTCTTGGAGAGGCTCCGGTTTCCCCTCAGCCCAACCTCCACCCCCATTATATTCCTGGATCAACTAGAATTTAACTGACTTGAGGGGCAGACAGCACTGCTGGAGCAGAAAGGAGGGAAAGGAAGACAAATTCTTTGCAATCGTGTGCAACACCGGGGACACCAGGGACACCAGGGAATATGTCATCATTGATTGAGATATGGAACAAGTGGAACTCTCATTCCTTGCAGGTTGGACTGTGAAACAATACAACTTTGGAAAACAGCTCAAGAGTGGTGAGAACACACACCCATGTCCATGGCAGCGTTACTCGCCATGACTCCAAAGTGGGAAGAACACAGATGTGAATAAAAGGAGGAGGAAGGAGCTCATTGTGGGGTTCACAGGATGCAGTGGCCCCAGCAATAGAAAGGAACTGGGACATAGGAAAAGCCAGAGAACTCAGAGTGGAACCGGGAACTTGGGAGGGCACGCAGGCATCTTCTGGGCACTGGAAGTGCTCTGGACTTGACCTGGGTGCTGGTCACACGGCTGTTTCACCTCATCCAGCACACTGGGATCTGTGCATTTATCATGTAAACACTGTCTCAACAAAGTCCTGTGGAAGACACCCAAGACTCCCAGAGCCCCAGGTGTCACGAGGAGAACAGGGACAGCTGAGTTCCAGCAGACAAGCAGGAGGCATCCCTGGTGCTTTGGAAGTGACTCACAGGAAGTCCAACTGACAAGGAGAGCCCCAGGGCCCCCTGCCCTAGCTGTGCAGGGTAGGGCATTCTCAGCCCAACTGAGACCCTGAGGGGCATTCTCCAGGTGCAGTGCCAGGGCATGGTCAACCTCAGCAGGGTGGCATCGGCACCGTGCAGTCACATGACCCATTCCCAGCGCTCAGGTCCAATCTTAGGAAGGAAAGGGGCCGCCCTGGAGAGAGTCCCTTCCCAGACTCTGTTATTCAAAATCCCAGACCCTGACCTGAGGCTCTGAGTTCTCTGCAGGGTAGATTGAAAGAGCCGTTCACAATGTCTGCCTCTTCTCACACTTGAGAATGGCCACTACCGAAAACCAGAAGGTGAAAAATGTTGACCAGGATGTGGAGGAAGAGTCCTTTGCACTGTTAGTGGGCGTTTCAATGGGGTTGGGGGCGGGGCAGCTATGCCACATGTAGTGTCATGGAGCCCTGGGCTGGGACCAGACCCCTCATTGGTTTGGGAGAGCTCAGTCCTCAAGAGGCTGTTCTAGTGCTGAGATTGGCACCCGGCCCTTGGGAAGGGGTCCCGGGGCCTCCAGTGAGGGGGCAGAGGAAGGGGTGGGCTCCTTCCTGTCTCCATTATGGCACAGACTCTTCCCCTGGTTCTAAGAGCCCCCCTGACCCAGGTCCCCTCACGTGGTCCCACCTTCTCCAGCCTGCCCTGCACAGGTCCTCAGCACGCCCACCTCCCTCCGTTCTCCTCCCCTTCCCCTTCTCCTCCCGCGGGCGCACGGTTTCTTTCTGTCTGTCTGTCCCTTTGGTTGGTGACGCATGCACTGGCCTGCAGTGCCCATGGCATTATGGATGGAGAATCAAGACAAATTCACATGGACTACCAAGTCCTGTGGAGGAAAAGAGACAGCACGGCTACTCTCTCAAGGGGGAGCGCCTCAGAGGACCCTGCAACTCTCTCAAGGGGAGAGCACGCTGACCCTTGTCAAACAGGTTTTTATTGTGTTTGTTTTTTTTTGCACAGAAGTTCAGGTACAACTTATTAATAATTGTCAAACAGTAAGGATCAAACAGTAGATAGCATACAGAGAACTATTAGGGCTTCTTCTAAGTCAGGGTCTATCAACTAAAAGGCTACAGAACTTTGGGAAAATAAACTCGTTTTCTGCCGGGGCCTTTATTATTTAACTAAGAGCATTCTTAGCAAAGCAGGTTTCACAGGGTTTCACATATTCTTTCTCAGGCCTAATTACCCAGGGAGCCCGCCATTCCCAGCACAGGGCTGCACCACCCTCTGTCATTGTTTTCAGGCTTAAGACAGGCAGAGGAGACTTCCTGCAGACAGACTGAGGACTCAGGGTTCGTCAAAGCTGGGGAGTGAGGGTCCATCACCCCCTTTCTGCTGCAGTTCCCCTAGTCCTTCCTTGAGGGCCTCCCAAGTGATCGTGTCTGGCTTAGGTTGCCCCTCCTCTGAGGGGTCTTACCCGTCATTGACTAACCGACCAGGGACTGGGGGCAGAGATGGATGAAGCAGAAGCAGCACTGCTGCCAGGGAGATAAGCATTGTCTCCTCATTGGCTGAAGGTCCAAAGGTCGCTCATTTAGCCTTAGCCATGGCAGGTTACAGCTCCTGAAACCAGGCAGGGCAGTTCCCAACAGATTGGGACCCAGCCTGACCAGTGATGTCCATTTCTCAGGCTGAGCACTTCAAACAAAATGAGTGTCTTCCCTTCAGCCAGCAGCTCGGTCTTCGGTGCTTGCAGGGTCCTGGGTGCTGTCAGGAAGGAAAAGGAGAACTGGGTCTGACCCAGCCACAGCTACCTGACCCTGGGGGGGGGGGGGGCGAGACGCCCTGGAGGACCCAGTATTTCTCCTTGGAGGGGGGACTAGAGGGACTTGGAATGTGGCACAAGAACCAAGAGAAGTCACCCAGGGAGGTCAGTGTTGTCTCCCACTGTGTGCATTGCTCTTTCCAAAGTCACACTGTGCAGCAGGTCAGCGCTCACAGTGACTGTGTAATACACAATTACTATGTACTGTACAGACTGTGGTTTGTGAGGGGGAGGTTTTGAGGCTGGGGTGGGTCCCACCCCTCACAACCTTGGCCCTTTTCCACAGGTCAGAACCCTGGCTATGGGACCTCAGGAGCCACGAGGAGGACAGGGAAGATGCCCCTGGGTTTTGGGCACAGCTGAGTTCACTGGGATCTCATATTCTGTCTGCACACAAAGCCTGTTGCAGTCCCAGTGGGACCCTGGGAGGGGGCGTGGGGTGCTGCTCTGGGAGCCTGGCCCCTCAGTGTGGTCTCGGCGCTGTCGGCCACGGTGTTGAGGGTTCAGTCCAGTTCTGTTTCGTGAGTATTTCCTTTCCAGTTATTTCACCTGTGTTTTACAGTCTCTCCCTTTTAAGAGAAAATGTGACTCTTGTAAGAAACCCCTTCCTTCTCCACCCTGTTCTTCCCCTGTACATGATAAATCTGGTAATTAAGGTCGTCACTTTTTATTTTTGTTTTCTTTTTAATGAACACACCATTCAGAATAAGTTTGTGTGATGGTGTTTACATGGCAAAAACAAAGAAACAAACAAACACGATTTGGTGGAATTAACAAAAGGCTACCGCAGCAGGATGAAATGTTTCTTGGTCACACACACAGACACAGAGAACAGAGAAACCTGTAGTGTAAGTGTCTGGTGCTAGCTTTTTGGATAGGAATGTAAGTACCTGACATTAAGGAACCATTTCAAAGTTATACATCTCAAATACTCATGTTGCCAGCCATGCAACAGCTTCTGGCTAACCAGTTACGTAAGCATCCAGGGTTCTCCCACCCATCAGTTCCCCTTTAGAAAGCCTTG